ATAGGTAACCAGCATTGGGTTCAGAGCCCTCACGACAGCCCGATTCCGCTTGCTTAGGGCTAAGCGGGGAAGTCGCGGTTATTATTATTATTATTATTATTATTATTATTATTATCTGCAAAAAGGAATGAGATGCCATCAAAAACATAACGTGTAAAAAAACAAAGTCTCGCAACTCCGTTCTATCTATTTAAAATAATAATAATAATCTATTTATTTAAAACATAAAAGATTTTTAATATTGACATGGTCACAACAAAATGTTGTTATGTTAGCTAATTATGTAATAACTTAAGACAGAAGGACCCTAAATTAACCTACTTGGTATTACATGGATGCCACAACCTTTTACGATAGAAGAACAGAGTTGCGAGACTTGTTTTTTTTTTACAAGTTATGTTTTTGATGGCATCATACTTACCATGACGCTTTGAGAAGATTATGTAAATATTTAAGAAAACGAAATAAATCTAACTTTCATTATTATAAAATTTGGTAGAAAATGAGGACACCCATTTAATACAGAGCACCTTATCCATTTATTATTAAAATAGTATCGTTTTTTATAAAAATATTGAGAAAATTTGAATGTGTTAAAAACAACACAAAATATAACAGCCGGCGACGTTTCCACATTTAATTTCCAGGAGTTTCATTGAATTCAAGACGAAGGAAATGAGCAGAACAGGTGCCGATAAAATTTCAATCTCATTTATTTCCTATACGTAAATACATTTCCTCCAAATCTCCTTCGTTAATAGAGTTAAGAGAGTTGCATTTCAATAACATAATTTCGGCAAAAAGATCACTAAAGCTAATATTTTAAATTCAATAGACCGGTGAAAATTGAGACTATATTTTTTGGATATTAGATCATTCATTTTTACATTAAAGGTTATCTAAATAAAAATATCTAAAAATAAAAAATAATAGTAAATCCTCTACTGAACAAAAGCCACAGTTACCACGTTGGGCAGTTAGATTGGTAACCGCAGTTTCTTAATATTTTGGGCTATTATAAAGAACAATGCCTCTTACGGCACCCGCGGAATGATATGTGGTAATAGATTTTATAAAAGAATAAAATTGTTAGAAGCCTTTTTTGCAAAATATCGTTTAATATCTGGATCTTAAAATATACAAATAAATACCACCGTATGCAGTATGCAGTAACAGTTAAGTTTTCATATTACAACTAAAAACAAAAATAGGCACTTATTACTAATATGATTTCGAAAACAATAATGCCGTATAAATTGGCATGATAAATTGACTTTAAAGTCACCACTTACGAAATAGAATGATAAATTTTCTTACGCCACCTCCGCACAGTTTACGAGTACTTATCGTATATGATGAGTAATAGAAAGAGTTTTGTCTTCTATCCTAAATCTAGAACGGTAATTCGTTTTACTCATCAGCTCAAATGCTTTAAATTAGAAATGGGCCGAATATTCGTCTCATATTCGGTATACGGCATATTCGGCAACTTTACCGAATATTAAATAAAGTGGTACTCTAATTGTCCACTGTATTAAAATGTACGAATTGAGTAATGCCATGTCTTTCATAATTTTACTGTTGAAAGTATATTTTATTTATGAGTAAAATCTACTTGTACAGCGTTATATTTTTGAGATACTGTAGATCTATATCCAATTATAGCAAATAGAAAGCTTGATAAAAAAATTTTGTAATCAAACAAAGAAACATTACATTACATTAGTATACTTCACTTTACTTTGGTCATCAGTTTCTATAAATTAAGTCTAAATAGTAGATCTCCTGCCAGTCATTTTTATCATCTAATTATTTATTTTCACTAAGAATAATACAACAGAATACTTTTTTCTCACAAAATAGTCAAAACGTAAGCATGTGCCGGCAACTTGCTCAGAACCAGATGATTAGCGAGGGGCAAAGTCCGGCGCTAATACAGCGCGCTTTACGGTAACAAGTTTCGACATCAATTAGTTAGGTAGCGAGGCTATCCTGTCTAATAATATTCGGCCGAATATTCGGTTCGGTAAAAGTTTAACCGAACTTTGAACGGTAAAATTCATATTCGGCCCATCTCTACTTTAAATGTGACCCTAAAATAACAATTTGAAGAATTTTGACAGAAAATATATAATACCTATGACTTAACAGTTCTGTGAACTTAACGGAGGAGACCATCACTCACACATAAATCACAACTTATATTTCAGGATCAATAAGGTATCAGCTCGATTTATAAAGTAATTTCTATCGACAACACAAACCGAAAACAAACTGCTGCTTTCGTTTCTGTCATTGTCAATGGTTTCGGTGTGCTCTGCTGAGATTCGAACCCAGAGCCCTTGAATTAGAAGCCGCTTATTTTGATCTCTAAGACACGTGGGCAATATTCGACATGTGAAATACTTAGAACTCCAATCCAAACGTAACATAACCGTCTATGCATTAAACCGTGTAGCATTAACTAATGAAATAACTGGCCCCTCTAAGCAGATTTTTTTTAATTTATAGCAAAGAGAAAAATTATTTTTAAAAATATAAATCTGTTATTTTAGACGTATTGTAAAAATATAATTTATATTGTTAAGTAACTTTAATATTTTATTTAAATACTTGAAAATTCGCATGACATGTGACAATGGGACCACAAAATATTTAATAATAATAGTATTAATAAAATATTTATTTCAGATTACAAATGAGATCCATATCAGACAAGGAATTAAAAAAATCACAAAATATTAATAATCATTCATGAACAAATCAATACACAAAGGTAATTCGGCCATATATTTTCGTTCCAATTTTCCAAATATTAAGATTTATTTAGTTAAAAATAAATTTCAAGTTTGTACTATTAAATACACAACATAAATTACATTCTTAATAAATGTTCACAGTTTTAGTGTTGAAACTTGTTTCTTCTTCGAATGAAATAACATCTTATGCATTCAAGTATCTATTGTTTTAAAAATGTTTGTTCTACCCGAAACTTTAATCTTAAGATTAGATTATAAGTGTGTACCATATTTTGTTTATCAATAAACATTATTATTATTATTGATTGGGGTATCTATATAATTTTCTCACCTGGTTGGGTTCTATAAATATATAATTATAAATTAAAATGAAAAGATAAATATACATAAATATCAATAAAATAAAATAAATACAAAAACTATATAAATAAGATTCAACCAGTTGAGGGAGGCGACTATATCTACGAAGGGCTCATGTAGAGCCCCGTAGTACCTCCCGTGGAGCTCCTTCTCCTTACATACGGTCTCCCGGTCGGAAATGCTAAGCACTGCTGGGTCCTGCCATTGCTCGTTGGCTAAGGATAGAGGGGTAAGCCCTTTATCACTAGAAATGACGTCATTATAAAATGGATCATCCGATCTCGCCAGGAAGTAATGACGGAGGCTGCACACTTCAGGATTATGCATGGTGAGCGCACTCAGAAAGCCACCATGCTTTCGCGGCAAGTACAGCCTCATTATCGACGATCTCGGATGATGCATCCTATGGGACGTCATGGTAGTGCGGACTTTTCTATCCAGGGCGTTAAGTTCAGTCTGAGTCCACCTGAGTATGCCAAAGGTATACATAAGGACAGGCTTGACCCAACCGTTATACGCGTGTGTCTTATTCACAGCGGACAAAAGGCTGTTAAGCACTTTGGTCAAGCATGCATAAAACACGTCGCAAACTGACTGTTTCATACCAGCCTCATCGATACCGATGTTCTGTGACATATCCAGGTATCGGTATGTTTCAGCCTCGGAAAGGGTCCTTAAGTTGACGGGCATAGATAAATCTATGCCCTCAGAGTTAGCAATACTTCCCCTCTCAACATGGAGGACCGCACACTTATCCGTCCCCAACTCCATTCCAATGGAATTGCTAAATTCACAAGTGATTTTTAGCAATTCCATAAGATGGGAGCGACTGGAGGCGAATAACTTGAGGTCATCCATATAGAAAAGGTGGGTCACTTTTGTCCCTCCTTTCCGTAGATGGATCCCTCCAGTAAGGTACTGAGAGGGTTAAGGGAAAAGCAGAACCAGATTGGACACAGACAATCGCCCTGGAAGATACCCCTTCTTATCCTTATGTGGTTCTCCGCAGCCATAATCCGCTCACCCAGATGACAAAGGATCGTACTCCACTGCCTCATACACTGATCGAGGAAGTCTCTCACTGTACAGTCTATCTTGTACAGCTCGAGGACTCTCTTTAGCCATGTATGGGGCACCGAGTCGAATGCCTTTCTGTAGTCTATCCAGGCGGCGGAGAAGTTCCGACGGTTGCGTTTCACCACTTTGCCAATGACCGCGTCAATCAGGAGTGGTTCCTTAGTTCCACGACCACCGCCCCGACATCCATTTTGAGCGCGTGACATCACCTGATTTAGCTCCAGGTGACGAGTGATTCTCGCGCTCAAAATGGATGTCAGTGTCTTATATATGGTGGGTAGACACGAAATGGGGCGGTATTTGCTCGGGTCTGTGGTAACCTAGTCTTTAGGAACCAAATGAAGAGGCTAGGGAGCGACTTCTGGTTGAGAGCCTCTTGAAACTGACGGGTGAGCACAACGTGACACACCATGAACCCCTTCAGCCAGTAGTGATGCAGTCCGTCAAGTTCCGGACTTTTCCAGTTCGGGGCTCTACGGACCGCCTCAGCTACGTCATCCGGCGTTATGATGACGGGGTCCATGGGCGTAATACTCGCACACTGACTCGCCACAACTTCCGTCCAAGGGCCCTCGTTGTGGTTTACGGGCTCTGACCACAGGCCACGCCAAAATGCGACAGTGTTAGCCTGATCCGGTCCTGGGCCCGCTCCACATACCTCTGATCGGTCCAATGATTTGTAGAGCCTCTTCTGATCACTCTGGAAGATACAATTCTGGTTGAACCGCCTTGACCTCTCGGTAAATCGGCGAATTCGCTTCCCCCAAGCAGCAATCTTTTGCTTCAGGTCGTCTAAGCGCTCCGTTAGTTTCTGCGTGATATCCGGCTGGGACAACCGATATTTGTCCCAGCAAACGCCATTCTAACGGTGCGCACAACCCTCGGTCTATTATTACCCGACCTGAAGCTTATCAGTCTGCCGATAAGGGCCCTTGCCTTCGCGATACGGTCCTCAATTCTTTTTCTCCAGGCTGGGATGGCGCTACTTTGTTTAGTAGCGCGTCCAGACATGGGAAGTTTGGCGTCAATAATACGGCAAGCTGCTACTGCGGCGCCAAAAAGAACTGAGTCCGTCTCGCAAAGGTCCCGGCTGGCTTCCAAATAGGTTACCAGCATTAGGTTAAGAACCCTCACGACAACCTGATTTCGCTTGCTTAGGGGTATGCTGGGAAGTCGCGGTCGATTGTTGAGAGGCATGCTGCGCTTTTCCAAAATCGCCTCTTCCAATATACTCCTCATTAGCTCTAGTTCGTGGGAGACCATTTCATCTTCGTCTGAATCAACCACAATTGGAAGATCCACGGCGGCTTCTACGCGTGGCAGCTTATTATTATTATTATTATGTGGGGTATCTATATAGTTTTCTCATCTGGTTGGGATGTATAAATATATAATTATAAACGAAAATGAAAAGATAAATATACATAAATATCAATAAAATAAAAAAAATAAAAAAAAATACATAAATAAATAAAAGCCCAACCAGATGGAAGCCCTCGGCAGGGGAGACTAAACGGCCGAGGGTTAGGGGGAAAGGGAAAGAAACCGGCGGACGATGCGGGCGGTATCGAGGAGTACCGCCTTCTGCATTTGAGCCTGGAGCGGTCCGCCACGTAGTCCCAACCGCCTCAGATGACTGGGATTAGCCCGTTTGCAGAGACGACTACAGGAATAATTTCGGTCGGCAGACCACCCCACATGTCGGTCACCTCGTGAGCCAGGTCCAGATATTTTGTTTGCTTATCTGTTTCGGCTTTCACGAGGTTCTCGTCACACGGAATGGTAATGTCGACCAAAAATATCCTTGACTGTGCCCGGTCCATCAGCACAATATCAGGCTTATTCGCAAGAATAGTCCTGTCTGTGATGATGGCCCGGTCCCAATAGAGCCTGGCGCGATCATTTTCAAGCACGGCTTCCGGCAAGTACTTGTAATACGGCAACTTCCGATCCACGAAACCGTATTAAAGAGCGAGCTCCTGGTGTAGAATTCTGGCTACTAGGTTGTGCCTGTGCAAGTACTCAGAGTTAGAAAGCGCCGAACAACCGGAGATGACATGCCTAAGTGACTCCCCGGGATGGCGTCAAGCTCGACAGACGTCGACAGTGCCATCCTTTAGGATGTATCTCCGACAGTTGTTGGTTTTAATAACCTGATCCAGTATTGCACAGACAAAACCCTCGGTTTCCCCGAAGAGGTCACCGAAACGTAGCCAGTTGAGGGAGGCGGCTGTATCTACGTGAGGTTCATGTAGCGCCCTGTAGTACCTCCTGTGGAGCTCCTTCTCCTTCCATACGGTCTCCCGGTCGGAAATGCTCTGTACTGCCGGGTCTTGCCATTGCTCGTTGGCTAAGGATAGAGAGGTTAGTCCTTTATCACTAGAAATGACGTCATTATAGAATGGATCATCCGATCTCGCCAGGAAGTAATGACGGAGGCTGCACACTTCGCGATTATGCATGGTGAGCGCGCTCAGAAAGCCACGCCCACCATGCTTTCGCGGCAAGTACAGCCTCATTATCGACGATCTCGGATGATGCATCCTATGGGACATCATTATAGTGCGGACTTTTCTATCGAGGGCGTTAAGTTCAGTCTGACTCCACCTGAGTATGCCAAAGGTATACATGAGGACAGGCATGATCCAACCGTTATATGCATGTGTCTTATTCACACCGGACAAAAGGCTGTTAAGCACTTTGCTCAAGCGTGCATAAAACACGTCGCAAACTGACTGTTTCATACCAGCCTCATCGATACCGATGTTCTGTGACATACCCAGGTATCGGTATGTTTCATCCTCGGAAAGGGCCCTTAAGTTGACGGGCATAGATAATTCTATGCCCTCAGAGTTAGCAACCCTTCCCCCTTCAACATGGAGAACCGCACAATTATCCGTCCCCAGCTCCATTCCAATAGAATTGCTAAATTCACAAGTGATGTTTAGCAATTCCATAAGATGGGAGCGACTGGAGGCGAATAACTTGAGGTCATCCATATAGAAAAGGTGGGTCACTTTTGTCCCTCCTTTCCGTAGCCGAAATCCCCTCCCGGAGCCCTCCAGTAAGGTACTGAGAGGGTTCAGAGAGAGGCAGAACCAGATTGGACTCAGACAGTCGCCCTGGAATATACCCCTTCTTATCCTTATGCGGCTTTCCGCAGCCGTCATCCGCTCGCCCAGATGACAGAGGATCGTACTCCACCGCCCCATACACTGCCCGAGGAAGTCTCGAACTGTACAGTCAATCTTGTACAGCTCGAGGACCCTCTTTAGCCATGTATGGGGCACCGAGTCGAATGCCTTTCTGTAGTCTATCCAGGCGGCGGAGAAGTTCCGACGGTTGCGTTTCACCACTTTGCCAATGACCGCGTCAGTGAGGAGTGGTTCCTTGGTTCCACGACCGCCGCCCCGACATCCATTTTGAGGGTGCGACATCACCTGAATTGAGTCCAGGTGACGAGCGATTCTTGCGCTCAAAATGGATGTTAGTGTCTTGTATATAGTTGGTAGACACGTGATGGGGCGGTATTTGCTCAGGTCTGTGGCACCCTGATCTTTAGGAACCAAATGAGTGACCCCAGTAGTGAAGAGGCTTGGGAGCGACTTCTGGTTGAGAGCCTCTTGAAACTGTCGAGCGAGCATAGCGTGACACACCATGAACCCCTTCAGCCAGTAGTGATGCAGCCCGTCAAGCCCCGACTTTTCCAGTTCGGGGCCCTACGGACCGCCTCAGCTACGTCATCCGGCGTTATGATGACGGGGTCCATGGGCGTAATACCCGCACACTGACTCGCCACAACTTCCGTCCAAGGGCCCTCGTTGTGGTTTACGGGCTCTGACCACAGGCCGCGCCAGAATGCTACAGTGTCGGCCTGATTCGGTGCTGGACCCGTTCCACTTACCATTGGTCGCTCCAATGATTCATAGAGCCTCTTCTGATCACTCTGGAAGAGCTGATTCTGGTTGAACCGTGTCGACCTCTCGGTATATCGCCAAATCCGCTTTCCCCAAGCAGCGATTCTTTGCTTCAGGTCGTCTATGCGCTCCGTCAGTTTTTGCGTTATATCCGGCTGGGACAAACTAACATTTGTTCCAGCAAGCGCCATCCTGACGGTGCGCACAATCCTTGGCCTGGTATTGCCTGACCTGAAGCGTATCAGTCTGCCGATGAGGGCCGTTCTTCAATTCTTATTCTCCAGGCTGGGATAGCACTACTTTGTCCAGTAGCGCGTCCAGCCGTGGAAAGTGTGGCGCCTATAATACGGCAGACTGCCAGTGCGGCGCCAAAAAGAATTGAGTCCGTCTCGCATAGGTCCCGGCTGGCTTCCAAGTAGGTAACCAGCATTGGGTTCAGAGCCCTCACGAAAGCCCGATTCCGCTCGCTTAGGGCTAAGCGGGGAAGTCGCGGTCGATTTTCGAGAGGCGTACTGCGCGTTTCCACAATCGCCTCCTCCAATGTACTCCTCATTTGCTCTAGTTCCAGTTCCTGGGCGACTGTTCCGTCATTGTTTGAATCAACCACAACTGGCGTATTCACGGCGGCATCCACATTTGCCGTTTGCTCAGCAAGTTGTGGCGCCGCATCCTCAGCCGCAGCATTTTCACCCGATGAAGAAACAGCCTCACGTCGTAGCCGTTCGAGTTCGGTGACATCAAATGTATTTGAGCGCAAGATATACCGATCATCCGATCTCGCCAGGAAGTAATCACGAGTGATTCTCGCGCTCAAAATGGATGTTAGTGTCTTATATATGGTCGGTAGACACGTGATGGGGCGGTATTTGCTCGGGTCTGTGGTACCCTGGTCTTTAGGAACCAAATGAGTGATCCCAGTAGTGAAGAGGCTTGGAAGCGACTTCTGGTTGAGAGCCTCTTGAAACTGTCGGGCAAGCACAGAGTGACACACCATGAACCCCTTCAGCCAGTAGTGATGCAGCCCGTCAAGCCCCGGACTTTTCCAGTTCGGGGCCCTACGGACCGCCTCAGCTACGTTATCCGGCGTTATGATGACGGGGTCCATGGGCGTAATACCCGCACACTGACTCGCCACAACTTCCGTCCAAGGGCCCTCGCTGTGGTTTACGGGCTCTGACCACAGGCCGCGCCAGAATGCTACAGTGTCGGCCTGATTCGGTGCTGGACCCGTTCCACTTACCATTGGTCGCTCCAATGATTCATAGAGCCTCTTCTGATTACTCTGGAAGAGACGACTCTGGTTGAACCGTGTCGACCTCTCGGTATATCGCCAAATCCGCTTTCCCCAAGCAGCGATTCTCTTCTTCAGATCATCTACGCGCTCCGTCAGTTTTTGCGTTATATCCGGCTGGGACAAACTGACATTTGTCCTAGCAAACGCCATCCTGACTGTGCGCACAATTCTTTGCCTGTTGTTGCTTGATCTGAAGCATATCAGTCTGCCGATGAGAGCTCTAGCCTTTGCGATACGTTCCTCAATTCATCTTCTCCATGCTGGGATATCGCTACTATGGCCAGTAGCGCGTCCAGCCGTGGAAACCTTGGCGCCTATGATACGGCAGACTGCCAGTGCGGCACCAAAAAGGATTGAGTCCGTCTCGCAAAGGTCCCGGCTGGCTTCCAAATAGGTCACCAGCATTGGGTTCAGAGCCCTCACGACAGCCCGATTCCGCTTGCTTAGGGCTATGCGGGGAAGTCGCGGTGAATTTTCGAGAGGCGTACTGCGCGTTTCCTCAATCGCCTCTTCCAATGTACTCCTCATATGCTCTAATTCCAGTTCCTGGGCGACTGTTCCATCATCGTTTGAATCAACCACAACTGGGGTACTCACGGCGGCATCGACGTTTGCGGGTAGCTCTACCATTTGTGGCGCCGCATCCTCAGCCGTAGCATTCTCATCCGACGAGGGAACAGCCTCACGTCGTAGCCGTTCGAGTTCGGCGACATCAAATATATTTGAGCCCAAGATATACCGAACTCGGTCTGCCAGGTTTTGCTCTGTGACGGTTAAAGATGGCTCCAGCTCAGCAAAAAGACGATGCATCCTAGCCCGATACGCCAAACATCCAGTTTCTCCCCCTTTCGCCCTAAAATACGCCCGCAATGCGTTGCTGTTCATCTGGGTTGTCCAACGCATGCGGCGTACTCCACCAGAGGCGGGTGCCGATTGCTGGGCCCGCGAAGACCATGCCGACACCAAGCCAGCTGGTGGGCATGATGGATGCGAGGGGCTGCTGGGTGGTCGTGCAGCACCTCGCGCTCGGCTGGCGGTTCGCATGCTGCCGCGTCCAGCGCCAGCTCCAGACGCGCCCTGGCGACCTCCAGGCAGCGGCCCTTTGCGCGTTCTATTTAATTCCGTCATCCATTTTAGGGCGCCATTTAGCGGGAGACGCCCAGACCCGGCGCCGTTTCATGTTGAGGCCATGTGCACAAGCGGGCCTTTGCATCTTCAATTTTTGCCGAGGCACGGCACTAACACCTCTTGCCAAGGTGCTGGTGACTGCGCTGACGTAGCGGTTTTGTGACATAACCGTTACGTCAGCGGGCGATGGGGTCGTCACTTCCCTACGCCTTATTATTATTATTTACGGTAAGTGTTTTCACTTCTCAGCTCTAGGCTGGATTTCAACTACATTTACGGGCCGAAGCCAAAGCAAATGCAGCGTGTGGTGTGTAGTGTAGTTCATGTGATTTGATGAGGTCCTATTTCGTTTTCTTCTATCTGCATGAATTTCCTAACTATTCTGCATGTATTTAATATAGCTGCTTTTTGAAGTGTAATATATAGAGTTTCTTTTAGTTGTAATAATTTTAAGCTACGGAGGAGATGATTTGGGATGACACCTGTTGTGGAGAGGACTATAGGGACCACATATACTTTTTCTTGTTGCCAGATTCTAGTCACTTCATCTTTAAGTTCTGCGTACTTACAAATTTTTTCAGTTATCGTCTTCTGCAAGTTGTGTGTGTTGGGGACTGCAATGTCTATCAGGTAAGTAATATTATTTAATTTATCTTGTAGAATTATATCTGGTCGGTTATAGTGGATTGTCCTATCGGTGAGAATGCCGCGGTCGTAAAAAAGTTTATGTGTGGTGTTTTCTAGAGTATGTTTTGGTGTATAATTGTAGTACGGAGTGTTGGCATCTGGAATGAGTGCGTGTTTGAGTGCTAGTTTTTGATGAATGACATTGGCCACCTGATTGTGTCTGTGAGTGTAGTCAGTCTTTGTGAGAGTTGTGCATGCGCCTGTGATGTGTTGAATGGTTTCTGGATGTGTGTGGCATTTGCGACATTTGTCATTATTTACTGTAGGATCTTTGATTATATATTTTCTGTAATTTTTTGTGTTTATGATCTGGTCTTGAATAGCTATTATAAATCCTTCTGTTTCTGGAAATAAGTTGCCTATTTTCAGCCACTTATTTGAAGCTAACTTATTTATGTGGGATTGCTCTAAGTCATGAGGGTGCGGACCGTGGAGAACTTTCTTCTTCCATTCGTCAATTTTGTGTGTCTGTGGGTTATCACTAGTAGTGTTTTGGGATTCAATCTGATTGCTTAAGTTAAGTGGAGTGTAGTTAATATCATTCGTTACGATGGCTTTATGAATATTGCTATTATGGGATTTTGTATAGAAGAATGATTTTAATCGACTAACTTGTTTCCGCCATAGGTGCTGGATATCCATTAGGCCTCTCCTCATTATTATTATTATTGTGGGGTATCTATATAGTTTTCTCATGTGGTTAGGTTCTATAAATATATAATTATAAATGAAAATGAAAAGATAAATATACATAAATATCATTATTATTATTATTATTATGCGGGACCTTAACAATTTGTTTTATTATAGGACAGTCGTATTTTTGTGCTATTACCTCCGGAATACTCGGCGCTGTTCCTTGTTCTGCTTAGTAGTGATGCGGCTTTTTTGCGCATTATCGCATCGAACCGAGACCGACAAACGAGGCAGCCCCAAAGTAACTCCAAATGCATTATTATATTGCACCTTTAACGCTTTATGTGTCCTTTTTGTGTGTTTGTTTTCCTGTTTTGACACATAAAGAGCTTTAATAGAAAGACCGGCAGTAAGCCTTAAAAAGAGTTATTTTAACGGCACTACTTCATAGTGCAAACCTACGGGCCAACATATTAATCCGGGTCGCTAAATCCCTACGCTCCCTCTCCATGTAAATTTCATCACGCTTATTCTTGGTTACGTAGTGTCTCAAGTATTTGAAATGTGATACCCTCCATAAAGTAGTGTACAGTCTGTACAGTCTGATAGGTGGTATATGCGCGGGACTTATTATTGACTTTTAAACAACACAAACTCACATTTAAGATGACACGCTTGTTATGAAGTCAACGTTTAACCTCTCATATTCCTAATGGTCAGTAATGCTAAGGTGTCGTCATGGCTTAAATGAAATAAAAGTGGAGTAAAATGGGAAAGATATTTTGTTACCTAACGACAAAAAACAATATTATTGTCTATAACAAAAACCCTGTGGTTCCCGTTAACTGCATTATTAGAAGCCATTAAAATTATTACACACACATCTAAGCAGAAATCATCGTCTCAGGAATTACTGAAAACTGACTGTATTAAAGACTCCTTAAATAGTATTAATAATTTCTTTGCAACTGTTGGGAAAAACATCGCAGAAAAAAATATTGTAGAAAAACAAGAATTATCACAAATTAACCTTGATACAACAAGAGAATCGTTTGTATTATTATCTACTGATGTGGACGAAGTAGAACGCATTATAATAAATTTAAAATCAAAATGTACAGTTGGTTGGGACAAAATCTCTAATAACTTTCTAAAAACTTTTCGACATATCCTAATCCCACCATTAACTTATATCTTTAATTTATGTTTCGTGAACGGAATATTCCCTAATTATTTTAAAAAATCCATAATTCACCCCATATATAAATCTGGAGATAGAGACCATGTGAATAATTATAGGCCTATTTCTATACTTCCTTCTATTTCAAAAGTATTGGAAAATGTTATTAATATCAGACTTGTAAAATACCTAGAGAACTTTAATATTCTATCAAAATGTCAATTCGGGTTTAGATCCGGAAAATCTACCAATGATGCAGTACATGAATTAACCGATAATATCATCAAAAATCTAGACAAAGGCAATAAAACGGTAGGGATTTTTCTGGACCTTGCCAAAGCGTTCGACACGGTCTCTATCCCCGTTCTGCTAAGGAAACTTGAAAAAATTGGTATACGGGGTACACAACTAAAATTATTTGAAAGCTATCTAACTGGAAGACTACAATGTGTTACAATAAATAACCAGTATAGTTCTGATGTATCTGTTAGCTACGGAGTTCCTCAGGGGAGTATTCTGGGCCCAATTCTATTTCTCGTCTACATAAATGACCTCTTAAAACTTAAATCCTTCCATGGCAAAATCATATCATATGCTGATGACACAGCACTCCTATTCTCAGCAAGTACATGGAAGGAGGCTTTTGATAACGCTCAAACTGGAATTGATGTTGTCTCAGTATGGTTACGTAATAACCACTTATCTCTTAATATTGAAAAAACTAAATATATTACCTTTTCCATGACAATTGATCCTCAATCAACTATCAACTATAAGTTAACTGCTCACATTTGTTTAAATTTAATAAAACCTTTAGCATTACCGTGTACCTGCCCATCTTTATCCAAAACCAACTGTGTTAAATATTTAGGTATTCTTATTGATAATCAACTGAATTTTAAAGATCATTTAGAAGTTTTAACGTCCCGAGTTCGAAAGCTTATTTATGTCTTTAAAATTCTGAGGCATGTAGCTAAACCTGAACTACTGAAACAAATATACACTGCATTGTGTCAATCCATTATAACTTACGGTATAACAATATGGGGCGGAGCCCCAAAAACTACTTTAGCTCCACTGGAAAGAGCTCAGAGAGCTGTTTTAAAGGTTTGTACTTTTCTACCCATTCTCTATCCAACATATGAACTATATGAACACTGCCAAGTATTAACAGTCCGACAATTATACATTTATCTGACGATTTTAAAGCAACATGGGTTATTAAATTTTACCTCATCTCAATTAATAAAGAGAAGATCCGACAAAGTGTGCCTTACTACTACCTTTAAACATTGGTATACACATAAATATTTTTGTTTTCTTGGTCCATTCTTGTACAATAATATAAATAAGCAACTAAATTTATACATTTTAAATAAGAATCAATGTAAAAAAAACCCTATTCAAATGGCTTCAAAAACTAGATTATGACGAAACAGAAGTATTATTGAAATCCCTAAATAACTGATTTACTTCTATAACGTATAATTAATATACTATTAAATTATATTTTCTTATT